CACCCCCGCCACGAGAAGGCAGTGAGTAGGACTTCCCTGGCAGAGGCTATATACGCATGGCCATGTGAGAGCATTTCGAGAGGGAGAGCGGACCCTCCCCACTCTCGGCCGTACCAGGGCATTTGGGGGCTGTAGGTTGGAAGAAAGGTAGCGGCGGCCAGACCAAAACATGGCACAAATCCATGAAGTCACTGACAAGTGAACTGAGCCATGTTGGTAGGTGTAGACTACCTGGTTGGGGACCGCGATGTGATAGCAACCGATGGTTAGAGACCTTGAATGACATGGCTCAAAATCGTTTGCAATGGCGCAGGTGCATCTACTTTCTGTGTTCTCTCAAACTCTAATCTTCTGAATTCTTCATGTCCTTTATTTTCTTTCCAAATCTATTCCACTGGATTATACTCCTTAAATAACATCATCAAACCCTAATGTTCCCTATCACTACTTCTACCACTACGGGATTTGAATCGATAACTGAATCTCTGTGCTAATGTGGTATGGCAACTCGAACTGATGTACGTACGTACGACGTTCCACGTTGTTACTGACTGAAAACATTTTTTAGATAGATTGTACCAGTATTTATACAATCATACTCAAAATTAACAATGCTAGGTGGGAATGAGTAAGTGATCTATAAGCAAGATAAGGATCTGCTGGTTTCTCGAATCTCTGAGTAACACATACTAGAAACTGACAGAACATAAACATTTAGTGATAAGTTGAAGCCATATGAATACACCATGATTTTTACAATAACTATTGTGTCGGCTGATTTCAAAAGTTGTTGATGATAAAATTGTACTCAGTCGAATGCAAGTACAACCTGGAAAACGTGTACATTGATTCAAGTTGCCATATTCCATTAGCACAGTAAAATGAAATTGTCAAAACAAAACACAGAGTAGTAGAGGTAGTAACAGTATTAGTGGTAGTAGGAAAGATTAGATATCGAAGATACGTTTTGAGAGAATAGAAGAAGAATTTAGAAACGCAGTCTAACTATTAGTTACGATAATCACATGGACCCCAACCAGATAGTCTTCATCTAATTACATAGCTCAGTCCAATAGTCAGAGTCTTCATGGACTGATGATGTGGCTTGATTTGACTGCCCCTAGATTCTTATTAGTTTACTCCTACACGAGCTATCATTGAGCGTCGAAGTGGATGGTGGATGGGCATAGATAATACATGCTCCAACAACATCAACCGATGGACGTTGGCTATCTCATTAATCGATTTTTCGTCCTTACCCTGTGCTTGCCTTATGTCTAACTTACCCATTACTCAACTCAGTGGTTTTCCAACATAAAAGAACAACGCTTCAAGGAAACCTATGACCGAATACTGGCAACCTACGAATATCCTCTATTCATGATGGCTATGTTCCATACCCACAAAGTAGGATGGATAGAACTGCTGAACAGTAAACTCGTCCTTTGGTATGTAAACGGATATCTCGCTCACTCTACGAGTGACACAAGTTAGCAAAAGCCAACCAGGCTCCCTGAATCTGTGTTAAGATCTCGTCAGACACCAGCCCACTAGGGCTCAACCATCGGATTAGCCTTGAGACTGATATTTCAACACTATGTTAGTCAAACCGATTTCTCTGTGGTTGTCACAAGAGTACACCAATGAGATGGGATTACATCCAGTCCCCGAAAGTCAGATAAGATTTTAATCAATCTAACTGCTAAAACTTGACAACTACATTCAAAGATTTTTGAGGCTGATTTGTCTGAACCTGCTGCATTCCCTGGCTTTAGATTCCTCATAGCCTTTTGAAATAACATTCGGTTTTCTCCCTTACGTCAATGGAAAACTAGTTTCCCTTAGACGGATATCTACACTAGATACCCTGCCATAGTCTATTCAGTAGGACTTCAACAAAACTCGAGTCAAGAACACGTGACTGATCTAACTAGAACGTGGGTTTATTTCCAAGTCAACAACCGACAGTAATAATAATAACAGGGGTAGGAAAATATACAACACTCGTAATACCTGTCAGACTAAATAGACAATCAATCACTATTTTCCTGGCCCACACACCTTTTCGACTAAGAGTTGGAGAGCTTATGTAAACTCAGCGTTCAGGTGTGTTATCCAATAGACAATTTTCTTTGTGCCGAATATTTGAAACAAATAAGTCATCAGGATAATCAGTATTCTATTAAAATTACCAGAAATTCCAAACAACAACAAAAGGGAATTCTCGATTTCTTTCCTTGACGTCGGGCATTCGAGGGTATGCGAAATGTAGACAACACCCAACTGCGTCTTAAGGCAAGTCCTCGTTTGAAATACTTGAGGCCAAAGGAGAAGAGGAAGACCAAAGAATACATTACGCCGAGAAATGGAGACAGACATGAGAAGATTGAACAACCATTGGATAGGACTAGAAAGAAGGACCCAGGACAGAATGGGTCGGAAAATGCTAATCGGTGGTCTATGCTGCAGTGGAAGTAACAGGCGTAAATTTATTCACCGTTTTTTTGGTTGCTTAGATTACCATACATTTAGGCTTATAAGTACACATAGCCAAAAGTCGATATCAGGAACAACTGTCACACTTAGGCAGTTATGAAAACCACGCTGATTCGGATCTTGCTTGGAATGATATACGAACAGTTGTGGAAACAACAGTGATGTCTGTTGGTGATTTAAACCAAACGGTTACGAAAAACCAATGGATTTCTACTAACTCTTTTGCACTGATAGACTCTCGTAAACTCATTCCATCGTGCAATAAACACAAAGAAGAGCGAAAACAAATCAGATCTATGTTGACCAAAAGTCTAAGGAACGACCGTGAGCAGTGGTGAGCAACGAAAGCAAAAGAGATGGAGAAGACAGTTGATGTAGTTAACACCAGACAGCATTTCAGACTAATAAAGGAATTTGGAATTAAGATGTCAAGTGTTGATAACTTCACGTATCTTGGAAGTCTAATCAGCCGTAATGGGTCGGTGTCTAACGAGATCTCAGCACGGATCCAGAATGCTCGTTTGGCTTTTGCCAACCTACGTCACCTATAGCGAAGGCGAGCCCCCCAAATACCCTGGTACCGCCGAGAGTGGGGAGAGTCCGCTCTCCCTCTCGAAATGCTCTCACATGGCCATGCGTACATAGCCCCTGCCAGGGAAGTCCTACTCACTGCCTTCTCGTGGCGGGGGCGTTGTTTACGAAAATGATAGGACGAAAAGCGAATATCCGGCGCTTTAACCGGACCCCAAACCAATGGTGCACATGGGCTCCAGTATCCTGAAGGAACAAATGGCGTATGAACTAATCGTTGGTCACCGGCTACCATGGGACTGCATCTCCTTACGATGCTCCACTGCCTTGTGGATCAGACGTTCAGGTCAAAGGCTCGGGGTGTGGCCCCCTAAGAAAACCACCTGCTTCGGTTTGGGCACCCGAGCAGTATCACAGCCCTCACACAAATCAATTGAGATTCGTGTGGCGCATATGTATTTGGTGCCTCCTTGTACCAATGCCTATGTGTTAAAATAAATAAATAATAGCGAAGGCGAGATATCCGCCTGTCAATTAAGGGACGAGTATACTTTGCGACAGTTCGTTCTGTTCTACTTTACGGCTGCCAAATGTGGTCACTAAGAGTAGAAGATACTCGTAAGCTACTAGTATTTGACCACAGATGTGTCGGAAAAATCGCTCAGTCAGTCAGTCAGCTGCAACGTAGGACCAGGCAAGTATATGCATCGGTCCAAGTTGCCATACCGCATTAGCACAACAAGATGAACACCGGATTCATAGGAGTAGTTAATTCAGTGGTGGTAATATATAGAAGAAAGATTGTGTATAAGGAGATAGTAAAGGAAGAAAGAATTAGTTCCTAGACAGATATGAAGCGATTTTAATCTCTTAGTTTAAAGGAAGACAGAGAGTGTATACACCGACGCCATTGTGATCGATTCTGAGCCATGTCACCAAGAGTCTCCAACCATTGGTTACGATAGTCACGCGGACCCCAACCAGGTAGTCTGAATCTCCCAACATGGCTCAGACCAGAAGTTAGTGACTTCAAGCACTGATGCCACGTTATGGTTTGGCCGCCCCCGCTCGCATCTGCTGGGATCACCGGGTAAGTAATAGTGAGGTTAGACGTAGGGTATTAAGGAATGATGGTAAATCAGTTGATGAGGTTGTGAATCTTCATCGGCTGAGATGGTTGGGCTACGTGTTACGTATGCTTGAACTCCGATTGCCACGACGCGCAATGCTGACTAGTGTTGGAGACGGATGGAATGAAGTTAGGGGCGGCCAAACCAAAACGTGGCATCAGTGCTTGAAGTCACTAACTTCTAGTCTGAGCCATGTTGGTAGATGCAGACTACTTGGTTGGAGTCCGCGTGACTATCGTAACCAATGGTTGAAGACTCTTGGTGACATGGCTCAGAATCGATTACAATGGTGTCGGTGCATATACTCTCTGTCTTCCCTTAAACTATGGGATTAAAATCGCTTTATATCGTTCTTCCTGTAATATATTCCTATATGCAACCTTTCTCTTATATAATACTACCATTGAAGCAACTACTTCTATAAATTTGGTGTTCATCTTATTGTACTAATGAGGTATGACAACCTGGACCGATGCACATGTACCTGTTCGTACGTTGCAGCTAACTGACTAACACCTAGCGTAGCTGAGAAAATAATAAGGTTGTTTGCTTTTATTCTGAATGTAATTTGGTTACTAGGAGAGAGTGCAGAGTAGCGTTCGTGGTGAAAACTGCCCAATCTCCCTCTTTTAGGGGTTTCCCCAAAGTCATGAGAAATATGGTCGTTTTCTCAAGTTTGTGAAATATCTAGGGTTTTTGTGCCATTATTCCAAATTTTTCTATAGCTGTTTCCTCAAAATTTACCCAAACAGGGGAGGAAGATGAGCCATCGACCAATGAAGAGCACAGAATATACCCACATTTATTTATGGATGGGGTCAAAAAACAAGCAGTAACACAAACCTAATATTAACACAATCTGGAAACTGGAACTAGAAGTAGATAGTATGGTCGTAACGAGGCAACGACCCGGTGGCACCCTCCTTTGAAAGAGGTGGCATCGCTTCAGGAGTATCGTTCACTGGTGGAGGTTGCGTGCACTTGAAGGTCAAACTGTTGTAAACCGATTGTCGCGTCACCTCGAGAATTAGTAGGGGTTTGTAGAAGTGGTCAAATCAAGACCATTATAAGTTTGATTTGAGTCTCATGGGCTGCAATTAAACTCAACTCGATTTCGTAATCGACTAATCAGAATGAAGCGGAAACTATTATATCCCTCATCTTTGTAAGCAATGACAGTCAGATTTCCTGGTTCTGTTTTTCAACCGCTGTTGTAAAACGAGTTTTTTAAAGTGATGTTTGTCACCCGCTAACAACGGGTGCATACGGTCTTATGTGCTGCAAAGCAGTCCGTCTCTCAAATGGTCCATCAAATCTACAAGCACCCTACAGTCATCGCGAACCACTCTCCTCTTTCGCTAGGCTGCAAAAAACATCGGAGGTTTGCAAACGAACTGATAACAACGGCGCATACAGGTAGTACAAACATAAAAGGAACATATGCACAAAGGTAATAAAAGAAGACAGGTTTCAGTACCAGATAAAGTTTACTAATAAATTTGTCTGCAGTCCGAAGGCATATTCCGTTATGCAGCCTCTCTTCGACAGGTAAAGACTGGAGTTTCCCAACCGCTGGGTCTTAATGGCCCGACCAATATCAACCATACTGATGACAGCTTCATCTGCAAATGCACAGAACTTTCCGTAGAGAACCTGAGAGCTGAATTGGTGTTCCGGAAACTGCAGCACCTAAGAAAAGACACTTCTCCTGGCCCAGATATGGTCCATTCTGCTGTACTGAGGGAAGCAGCTCCAATCCTGGTAACAACGCTTAGCGTGATGTTCTCAAACTCGCTAAGCCGAAGCAAACTTCCGGAAATTTGGAAGCTGGCTCACATCACACCAATTTTCAAAGGAGGTCAACGCGCCGAATCCTCAAGCTACCAACCGGTGGTTTTTCTCTTTATAACTCCAAAAACTATGGAGTCCCTGAGTGCGACGGTATACACGACTACGTATTATTCTTATACTTCTTTTCACCCCAACAGCATTATTTCAGGGAGGAGCATTCTTGTGTAACCAATCTGCTGACTGTGGTGGACAGATGAGAAAACATCCTTGATCTCAAGGGGAAGATTGACGTCATTTACCTTGACTTCTCAAAACCTTTTGATAGGGTCAACCAAATATGTCTTGTTAGTAAGCTCAGACGATTAGGTGTCAAATCACCTCTAATTGATTGGCTCACTTCATATCCAAAAGATCGATATTTTAAGATCACGGTTAACTTCACTTTCTCTCAGGCTATGAAATGTCCTAGTGGGGTCCCCCAGGGTTCAGTACTAGGACCTCTTCTTTTCCTGATTTATATAAACGATCTTCCACAACAGATATCGTCAGAGTTATTACTTTTTGCTGGTGATGTGAAACTCTGGAGAGATATGCGCAACCAAGACGATATACAGGCACTTCAGGAAGATCAGACTCGAATTCAAAGTTGGACAAACGAGAACGGACTTACCTTTAACACTTCAAAGTGTAAAGTAGTCCATCTGCGACATGTTGCAGACTACAGTTACAACTTAGGAAACCTCTCTCTAGTAGTATCTCGAGTCGAAAAAGATTTAGGAGTGCTGGCACCCTACGATTTGAAGACCTACGTTGTGACAAAAATGCCTTTCGAGCAAACCTTGCAGTGGTAGCATTGAAGCGCATTTTTGACCAGTTCGACAGAACTTTCCACATAATCTTCAACGGTTTTATTCATCGCCATTCATAGTACGGAAACATCGTATTTCCTCCCTCACACTCTGGAGCTTATCCAACAGCGAACCACGAAATCACATCATCTTCAAACCTTATGAAGAGCGCCTCCAATTACTAAAAATTTACCCATTAGAGTACAGGCGTACTAGAGGTGACCTAGTAATGGCTTACAGCATCCTTAACACTTATGGACATCCCCTTAAACACCTACGTAAACTTAGCTTCGACGCAAATCCAAGGAGTAACGCCCAGAATCTGGGGGTACAACACAGCAGAACGTAATGTAAACACAGCTTCTGCTACCTAAGAGTAGTCAAGTGCTGAAATCCTCTGCCGGCTGAGCTAGTCCAAGCGACTTCCCAGAAGTCCTTTAGGAGGAAACTTGACCCATTTTTAAGGACTTAGGACAGTATCTTACGATTATTTACCAATTTCGTTTTTCTCTATTATCGTTAGTACACCTAGGTTCCTGCCTAAAGGTATTGGTGATCCACTGCTATTAGACACAGAAGCCCGTTAAGCTAAAGCTTCTCCTATTCCGTCCACAACTATTCAAACGGGAATAATCCACTAAATACGTTAAGTTTTCGAGTATGCCAGACATGACTACCATAACGACTTTGAGAATAACACCTGTCGGAAACGGTAAACGACTCTTTAAAACAAATGAATTTGTAGATATTGGAATTTGCTTGTGGAATTGTTTTAGGTATTAACAAGAGAAGGTACAGGAACACGATAAAATATTAGGATGAACGATGGCTTACGAACTTACGCCTGTTACTTCTCGTGTGAGAGCTGGTTTGTTTTCTCTCACAGAAGGTCGATGTTAATGGTATCCGACCTATAGACATTGAGTATCTTATGTAGACAATTGTTTATAAATACTTGTACCTTTCTGATAATGGTTGTGCTAGTCCTCGGATTCTCAACCATGTACAGTAGAACTGTCTTAGAGTTCGTATTGAAGATTCTCACTTTGACGTTGGCCGACTGTTGTTTCGAGTTCCACATGTCCTTCAATTGTAGGAATGCAGCTCTCGCTTTGCTAGTCCTCGCCATTACATCTGCATCAGATCCTCCTTTTTCATCGATGATGCTGTTCAGGTATGTGAATGTTTCTACATCTTTCAGAGCTTCTCCATCCAGTGTGATTGGGTTGGTGTTCTCCGTGTTGTATTTGAGGATCTTGCATTTTTCCTTGTGTATGTAGAGGACTGTTGATCCGGAGACTTCTTCCACAGTGGTTGACTTGACCTATATTTGTTGATGGGACAGAGTAAGCAGCCTCATCTATCACTGGTCTGCATTTGGAACGCATCTGTGAGCTGTCCTCCATGCAATATTTCGCATTGTATTCCGTCGTATCAACTCCGAATGATGTTGACGATCTTCCCAGGTACACCATAGTGTCGAACACGATTCCATGGGGTTAGCAATGAGGTTTGCAATGGCGCAGGTGAATTCTTCATGTCCTTCATTTTCTTTTCAAATCTATTCCACTGGACTATACTCCTCAAATAACATCATCAAACCCTAATGCTCCCTATCACTACTTATACTTTCACTACCTCTACCACTACGAATTTGAATCGATAACTGAATCTCTGTGCTAATTCGGTATGGCAACTCGAACTGATGTACGTACGTACGAAGTTCCACGTTGTTACTGACTGACTGACTGACGATGAGGTTAGCCTATCCGTATTGTCGAATGCTTTCTCATAGTCAATGAAGTTGACAAACAATGATGAGTTCCATTCAATCGATTGCTCAACAATGATCCGTAATGTCGCAATTCGGTCAGTGCACGACCGATCCTTATGGAATCTCGCCTGTTGATCTCGAAGCTGGACGTCTACTGAATCCTTCATCCGGTTCAGTAACACTTTTTCGATAACTTTTCCTGCCACCGATAGTATTGCGGTGCCCCTGTAGTTTCTGAGATAAACGGTTTCAGAAATGGAGTAACGCTTCATGACAGCCTGACCATCAGGTCATTGTGGACCTAGATGAAGAGTTATCAAGCGAGATCATAGAATCTCTTGTGGTATATCTCTATAATATTATTTTGGAAAATCCCTCCATATATGCTTCCTATTTACGACTGTTCCTCTGTTTATTGTTTATATAGATCATACCTTTGATTTTTGTCTTGATTCAAGTTTTTTCGTTCCTGTTTTGTTTGAAACATAACTCATCAATAGGAGAGATATCAGTATTGTCAGAGGTATTCACACTAGCATCATCGCTTCCATTCACAGGCAAGCTTATTTTGGGTGACTTAAACATGCCCGAAAATACTCGGTTCCACTCTGGGCGCCGAAACGTTGTGATACATTTATTGAATGTCTAGAGCTTGCACAATGAATTCGGTAAGGCTTCTTGTCAAACTAAGGTCCTTCGGAATAAACAACCCACTATACTCACGGTTTGCTTCGTTCTTAACAGAACGTAAACAAATGTTAAAGTACAATGTATTCCTCTCATCACCTAGACCAATAACTAGTGGAGTCATCTAGGGGAGTTTATCACGTCCACTCTTTTTTCCTATGTATGTAAATGATATATGTAACACCATAAAAATTGGGAGACCATGCTTATACACTGAATGGCCTCAAAACAGCATACAGATTTGAGTCTAAATTTCTAAGCGAAAGTGTATCCCGAATTCAAAGTGATCTCAATAAACTATCTGGAGTGGAAAACGGCAATTACCATTTAACCTCAACAAGTGTGGGATCATGCATTTCGGGAAACATCCCTATGGTTTACGACTTTGCTTAAATAAAAGTAAAGTTCAAACACCCAAACCAGTGCACGATCCAGGTATCACTTAAACAGGAAGCCTTAAGTTTGAAGAACATGCCTCTTTTATTATTTTTAAATCTAGACGGCTAATTGGCTTCAAAATGAGAAATTATCCCAGAACAGCGGCTGGGCTTACTTTTTGCAAAATGTGTATATGATTCTCCTTGGATATTGGTTTTTTATCTTATCAAACATAAATGCCACAGACAAGATAGAAGTAGCTGTCCAGAGACGCTTCACACGCCGACCGCGAGAATGTAACTCCACTCTAAACTACGCAGACAAATGTAAGCACCTCTCCTTAAAACATTTATGGTATCGTCGGTTAAAGAACAATATAGTATTTTTATACAAA